ATGATTTGCACTTTTGCCTAATCTGGATATATCATTTTCCACAATTAAAAACAGGTTGCATTAAATAAAAAAACAGTAAGCAATGCTGAGTGGTTCCCAGGAAGAGAGCGGCATTGAAATCCCTTTGTTTCTGGCAGTGGCCCCCACATGTTTTTAGAATCAAATGTCCAGGTCACTTGTTGCTTGAAGGGACCAAAATTCAGGGGGCAGGAGTTGTGGGAAGGAATCGGGTTTGTTCAGAGCTGGTGCCAAGAAGACTGAGGGGCTGGCCCCTCAAAGCACTGTCTGGGGTGGGGTGCGCCAGGTACAGAGGCAGAGCGGGACACTGTCCCCCCCTCAAACCTCCCCAGGACTGGAGGATCCTCCCTGAGGATGCCTGTTCCGAGGACACCTGGACCTGCAGGAAGATCTGACCGAACACATCTCCCCCAAGTGGGGCTGCTTTTCTCCCTGAAGAGTGGGGCGGGCCAGAAGGGCCAAAGGGGTGAAGGACTGATTTCACAGGAGCCCTTGTTATGCAGAGTAGCTGATGGGGATTTCACGTTTTACCACTCAGTTTGCAAATAGGGCATGTGGGACACATCATTGCTTTTGAGGGTTTTAGGTGTATGATGTTGAGGTTTGAATGGAACTGCAGGGAACCAGCGCTCTGTTCTCTTCAACAGAGGAGTCTAGTGTTACGGGAAATGTGAATGGGGAAAATCACAGGAAACTTCTAGAAAGCCGAGTCGGCTTTCCGGATGGAGGATGAGTGTGTCGTGCTGCTGTGGAAACTTCCGGTATGGAGAATGCAGTGGAACAAAGGGTGGAAATGAGTTGGGTGGGAGTGGCCTGTCTGGAGCACGTCATAGCCATGGGTTGTGGACTTAGACTATGTGTGAACTTACACATAGTCCCCAGGCCCAAGCGATCTCCTCTACATGACTTTCTAGAAGTACGTTGATGTCCCCTCACAGCCAGCCGTGGAGTGTTTTGGAATCAAGGAACTTCCTCTCCAGGCATTGGTGCTGCCGCTTCTTGGTGAAACTGGCTCCTCAGGGAGGCTGGCTTAAGAAAAAGAAAAGTGCTGAAGCAGGCCTGGTGGTGCGCAGCTGGCATCCCAGCACTCAGAGAGGCTGAGGCAGGAGGATCAAAAATTCAACCCCAACCTGGGCAGTTCAACAACTTAGCATGACTCTGTTTCAAATAAAAATCTAAAAGGACTGGGGATATAGCTCAGTATGCAGGCCCTGGGATCAATCCCCAGCACATGCGAGCGCACGCGCGTGCGCGCACACACACACACACACACACATATAGCTCAGTATGTGCGCTCGCGCACACACACACACACACACACGCGCGCGCGCGCGCGCGTGTGCGCGCGCGCACACTCACACACAAACATTGTCTCTCTCTCTCTCTCATGTGCACCAAGAAAGTGGATGTAGGGACAGAGACTGCCCTCAGACCTTCCCTTCCTCCCACCCAAAGCTTCTCAAAGACTGAGCCCATATCTGCCATCCAGTCCTGCTTAACCTTTTGAAAACTTTTCATTGAGAAAGAAGTCAGGAAGAGTTGTAAGGATAGAGCACATAACCTCTCTACACTCATCCCCTGTTGGGAACACTTTGCCTTTATCATCTTTCTAAATCTAGGAGTTTTTTTTCCTTTTCAGAAGCCTCTGAGTGAATTGCAGCAGTCATGCCTCTTTACCCCTACATAATTTAGTGTTTATTTTCTAAGCGCCAGGGCCATCTGTTGCCATAGTACATTGTCAGGTTCAGGGAATGTCATGGCAGCACCATGTGATCAGCGCTCTAGTCTAGATTCTGTTAGTCAACGGTGTTCTTGATCTCACTTTTTTTTGGTTGGAATTGAGTCCAGGCCTGCTGGCCGTGTGTTTGGTAGTTAGTTGTCTTGGTCCCAGGCATTTTCTTAGCCTTTGTCTTCGATGACCTTGACATTGTTGAAGGAGAGGCCATGTGCTGATGTGCCAGCCCCAGAGCTTGGGTGCGTCTGCTCTTTCCTCCAGATTAGAACCACTTGAGAGTCCTCTAGATGATGCACTTCCTGCAGGAGCACCACGCAGCGAGCCAGGTCTCTGTGCCCCGCCTTGGGGCACCCAGTCTCTGCGAACTCGGGTCACTCTGCCCAGGTGACCTCTCTGCCAGGTTTCCCCACTGTGAGATCAGCATTGTCCCCTTTATTATATAAAGTGAGTTCTTTGGGGAGACACTTTGAGATACATTTATGTCTTGTTTGTCGTCGGACTTTTACCTCCCTAGTTACGGCATCTACATTGGATACTGGCCTGAATGCAATCTTGCCATGATGATTCTGCAATTTCCTGTCATTCCTTCTGTGCTGGTTTGGGATTACTTTGCAAGGGGAGACAATATAATGCAGGACACGTATTTGATAAGATTATTTACAATAGTCCCCCAGAGAATCATATACAAATCTGTGGAAATCTGTGCATACAATAAGGACCAAAGAATCCAGCTGCGGGCCTGGACCCCGAGATAATGCCCTGCATGCGACCAGCTGAAGACCTAGAGCCCATAACGATGTCTCCCACGAATCCAACTGGAGGCCCAGAGCCCATGACAACGTCTCATCCAGGCCTGTTTCATGGATCTGTACTGGGAAGGCCCAAGGTCAGTGGTGGAATCTAGGAAGTCTGTGCCACTGGGATGAAGGATCTGTGCTAGCAGCCTGAGGCATCTACACTGGAGCCAGAAAGTTATGCTCAAAAGAAGAACCAAAGTTCCCCCAAAAGGTACCATAGCCTTTCTCAGCAGCAGTGAGGTCCTGAGCTCCTGTGATGGTGAGTACAGCTGGGTTCCCATCAGGAAAGCCAACGCAGCAAGCTTCTCCAGGAGACTGGGCAGTGCGCCATCTTCCCCTCTGGAGCCAGGAAGTGATGCTTAAAGTGAGGACCAGAGCTCCCCCAAAGTGAACTGAAGCTGTTCTCAGTGCCAACCAGGTCCCGAGCTCCTGAGAAGATGAAAACAGACAAGTTCATCAGGAAAGCCAGCACGACGAGCTCCTCCAAAAGAACTAACAGCTGCTTACAGCTCCTACCAACTCCCAACAGCCTTTTCTCAGCTCCCAACAGCCTCCAGCAGCTCCCAACAGCCTCCAGCAGCTCCCAACAGCCTTCTCTCTTCTTCTCCAGTTCTGCCTCTTACGCAGCTGGCAACAGTCTTCAGGTGGGCCTCCCACACCAGCACCACGCTTACTCAGTTCAGCTGGGGCTTATAAGGTGACCACCAGTTGTCAGTCCTCCACACCTTCTGTGTTTATTAGGCAGCATTCTGCTGTAAGAAACGCCTTCCTCTCATATGTTAGTTTTTATTTCTTTATTGATATGGACTCATGGATTCTTATTTTATTCAGCAGGTCATAGCCCATCACTGTCAATATTATGCTGGCGTTTAAACCATCCCTTAGTACTTTAAAAATGTTGTTCTGGATGAATTTTAGAATCCCACATCAAACGTTCCACCCTCCAAATTGTTTTTTCGAAAGGTTTTGAATAAGTTTATTGTTTAGCTTAGGGTAGAATTTAATCTTTTTGCAAGGTTAAGTCTTCCTTTTTTTTTTTTTTTCCCTGAGCTGGGTTCTTACTATGTGGCCCAAGCTGGTCTCCTGGGCAACTTCTGGGCTCCAGGGATCCTCCTGTTTCAGCTTCCCACCAAGAATCGGGGACTTTAGTGTGTAGCATTGCACCTGGTTCTTTATAGTTTTGTATTTGTGAATAGTAACGTCTTACTTTTCTTCCCATGTGAACTTACACGGACCATGCATGTACAGTAGCCAGCTGTGTTAAACCACACCACCCAGGGCAGTAGTAGAACGTGGCTGGCATCCTGAGGGTCCCTGTGTGCCTGTCCCTGTCACCACCCCCTTCTGCTTCCCTCCTCCTGCAGCCCACAGACCTAGGGGAAGGCAGTGACTTGAGTGGCGTCCTTGTTCAGTGTAGGCCAGCAGGGCTGTGGAGCCAGAGGGACAGAATCCCTAGCAGGTGCTTACTGTGTGTCCCCTGACACGGGGACGAGGAGCAGCATCTGCAGTGGTTTTGTTCTCAAGACCAACTTTAGGAAGCGTGCAGATCCAGGCTGCGTAAGTGTGTTTCTTACTGAATTTATCATTGAAGAAAGCAGAGATTATTACATTAAATTTATTTCCTTATTTTCGTACATACTGTTAAACAGGTTTGCTTAGGTTATGGCAAACCTACTATCACAATAGTAGCTGATGGCTGGCCAGCTGGTGGAGGAGTTGAAAGCGCTGCTTTCTCTGCATAGGAGGAGGGTGTGAGGCCCCCACCCGGCTGTCCCAGCCGCCCTCACTCCCCATGCAGCCCTGAGAGCCAGGGAACGAACGGTTGCCTGCCTAGTACCCATGTCCCCCCGCAGGCTTCGGCTCAGTGTCAGCTGGCTCTGAGCTCACCTGCGTGTATCCACTGTTTTAATGCCTACATTTATCCTCATAAAATCCAATTTGTCTCGATCTGTGATTCTGTCATTATTAAATCGAACAGCTTTCGGGTAGGCTCATGGTACACCTAGCTCACTGAGTTTATAGGAGTCAGGAATTTGGCCAGCATCTTCAAGAATCAGAAGTAGAGAGGAAGCACTGAGCCTGTAGAAATGATTGATTATACTATGAAATATGTTATACTCATTCCATCAGTGTGTATTGTTAACTTTGCTTTTTCTGGTTGACACAAGTATGGTTCTCATAGTTGTACCATTTGAGAAATGTTAGTGTTATGCTTGAAGTGTTACTTTTGACAAATTTCACTGTTTGCATGAAAATTTCTACTCTACTAGTTCTTTTTGTTTGTGTTTTGTTGGAGTTGAGGTGTGAGACATGATCTTGCTATGTAGCCCAGGCTGACCTTGAACTCATGGTGATTCTCCTGCCTCAGCCTCCTGAGAGCACTCTTATAATTCTGTTTGTATTTTTTTTTTGAAAATGTATTAAGGACTTTTTTTTATTTTTGCCTTTAGAAAAACTAATTGCTTATCAACGAGAATTTCTTGCTTTAAAAGAACGTCTTCGAATAGCTGAACACAGAATTTCCCAGCGCTCTTCTGAGTTAAGTACCATCGTGCAACAATTCCGGCGTGTGGGCGCAGAAGCAAATGGAAGTAAGGATGCATTGAATAAATTTTCAGGTACAAGTGATTCTGTTTATGTATTATAAAAAGAACATTTTCTAGGGACTATGTGGAGTAAGTTACTTGGAAGCCAGGGAGAGTAATTATCAACCAGCATGTGTTAATACTTTTCAGAGACAAAAAATCAGCACACCAAACTTTCTGTTCTAGTAAATTATAAAATAATTTTTATTAGTTGCTAAATTTGATTTTAAAAGAATACTACAAGTTAAATTTCGGTTATGTAAACTTCATGAACAGGATTAAAGAACCTTCATCTTGTGAAAACATATTCAGAATGAAATGAAATCTAAAAAAAATCCAAAAGCATGAGTTTTTCTAATCTGGAGATCCAGTATGTTACCTTATTTTTAAGGTTTTATGGTCCTAATTTCTCCTCCTGATGATAAATTTATATTATATCACAGTAATATTTAAAATTATGGAATGATATAGATAAAAACCCCACTCAGAAGCGTGGTGCCAAGTGATTTCTGTTAAGATTTTTTGTTTCCTTCCAGTCCTTTTTTCTCATACATCTTTTTCCTTTAAAATGTTTACTCTTGAAATTATACCATGAGCATTTTTACTGTCATTAAATACTCTTCAAAATGTTACTTTTAGTAGCTGTAATCACCCAGTCAGCCCTATACCATAATAAACATTTTTTTACACTTAGTCGAAGGAGTTTTCCCTAAGTTGTTTTGCCTCTCAACTTATGACCCCGTGGTAAACATCTTTGTGTATGAGTCAGTTGCATTTTTTTAGCCCTTATTTTCGTTAGGCAGTGACTTTTTTCAAAACTGGTATATGTTGTGATGACCATTGATTTTCAAACAGCATGGTGCCATCTCTAGAACAAGATAAAAAAAAAACAAACTACTAAATATTTGTTGAATTCATAAAAGCTCTTCTTTTTTTCTGATACTAAGGATTGAACCCAGGGCCTTCTCACTGTACTATATTCACAGCCGCCTCTGCCCTTTTAAGTTTTTTATATTTGAGATAGGGTCTTGCTGAGGTTCCCAGCCTGGACTTGAGTTTGTAATCCTGCTGCCTCAGCTTCCCAGAGTGCTGGGATTGCAGGCATGCACCACCTTGCCTGGCAAAAGCTAGATTCTTGAAAGGAAAATTACTGAGTAGTAGGACTGAATTTTTTAGGGCTTTTGATGCTGTTCTAAGTAACTGAGACATTTATTGCGTTATTACCAATATTTGCTATTTAATCTGCTAATTTGATAGGTGAAAATGGCATATTAAAATTTGTATTTCTTTATTCTTAGAATTGAAGTTTCTTTTCTTATGTGATGGTGATTTGTATTTTTTAGTGAGTTCATTCATCATTTTCTTCTTTGTTCTCTGAGCTAGGGTCTTGCTATATAGTCCAGGCAGGCTTGGATCTCTCTATGCAGCCCAGCCTCAAACATATGATCCTCCTGCCTCAGCCTCAGAGATGCTGGGTATATTTTCAAAGGAGTTGAGGGTACAAGTCCTTACTTGTAGCTTCCTTGTTGCAAAGGTTAAATCCTACTTTAATGAAAACAATATTTTGCAGAAGTTAAATCCTACTTTAATGACATTTTAAAACAATAGTTCATGATTGAACCAAGTGGTTTTTTTTCCTCTACCCTGTGCTGTGGTTCGAACCCAGGACCTCACCCATGCTGGGCATGTGCTGTGCCACTGAGCTACACCCCAGTCCCAAGACTATTTAAACATTTTTTTTTTAATTGCTGTTCTGGGGATTGAACCTAGGGCCTCAAGCTAGGCAAACCTGCTGCCACTGAGCTATACTCTGGCCTTTTTTTTTTTTGGAGACAGGGTCTTGCTTAGTTGCCAAGGCTGATCACTAACTCAGTTCTCCCGCTTCAGTGCCCTGAGGAGCTGGGATTGCGTGTGCATGCCTGGCTAATCTAGGTTTTATTTCATAACACATTACATCATTTACTGGTTCACCTAAAAAAACAAGACAAACTATTTGAAGATTGTGATCTATACTGAATATTTTCAACTTGTCCTGTTTCAATTCAGTGTTTCAGAAAATGGCTCTTCCATGGGAGATGTTGGTAAGACGTTAGCAGATAAAGGGGAGGGAACTCGGGGTCGGCGTGCTTGCTGTCAGCACGTTGTCCTAGTGGACTGCACGCTGGCGTCTGGTCCCCGGGGCTGAGCTCTGAGGCTTCGCTCTGCACCACGTCCTGGTCCTAGTGCTTTTCCAACCTCCGCTCGCTCTGCACCACGACTCTGATAGACCGGATCATGCCAGGGTCTTTTGCATCTTAAGTGGAGGGCCTGTTCTCCAAAGCATATTAGGAAAGGACATTCTGTAAATGTTTCCTGTTTATAAAATCAGCAACTTGTACAAGGTAAAGTGTTCCTGTGGATTAATTAGACTTTTGCATTTCAGATACGACCCTAAAGCTACTAAAAGAGTTAACAAGCAAAAAAGCTCTTCAAGTGCCAAGTATTTATTATCATTTGCCTCACTTACTGCAAAATGAAGGAAGCCTTCAGCCCGCCGTGCAGATAGGCGGTGGGAGGACAGGAGGTACGTTGGTGTCCGGGCTGTGCCACTGGTCTGACTTGTGACTTGATGTGTGATGGTGACCATTCGTGTCTGACTGCTCACAAGGAGAAAGGTCCTTTCTTTTTCTGTGCTCAGTAACTTGGAACTCATTCCGATCCCCAGGTTGAAAGGAGTGGGGCATTTTTCTCCGTAGACTAAAATAATACTGTAAAGAAGATCAAGAGAGGTCTAGATCAGGGAGCCAACTGGTTAGACCTTTGTCATTTTTCTATTTAAAATTTGTGAAGTAGAGGGTGGTTCTTCTCCCTTGTATCTTATTTCAGCATTAATAACTCTCACAGTCATGCTGGGAAGGCTTGACTATGGTCTATGTCCATCCTACTTTTTCTTACAGAGATGTAAGTAGTCTTATTAAGTAGTCTTATTTAACTTTTTATGCAGTCGTAGAAATACTGTGGTTTGCTACCTCTGTCTTATACACCCATAAGATATTTTATATTTTTTCTCTCCTTTGTCAGAGCCACTGAGCTGCTTGAATTTTCCTTGGGGGACCTGTTTATAACTCTTATACTTTTTACTCCTTCCTTTTGACTTTGTTATCCTTTTTTGGGATGGATTTTATTTTTAGATTTATTAAATTTTTTGAAAAGACAGGGTCTCCTTATGTTGACCGGGCTGATCTTGAACTCCTAGGCTCAAGTAATCCTCCTGCCTCAACCTCCCAAGAACTTCAGGTGCACTGCACCTGGCTCTTTGTGGATTTTGGAATACAGAGACTAAAATATTATTTTGTCCCCTTACAAATCGTAAATGAGACAAAATGATTAGTTCATAGATACTGAAATTAATTAATATTGATGAAAAGCTGCTCTTAGTCTGCTGTTGACTCCAGAGCAGTCTTAAGTATTGTCCTGTCTTGTGTTTTGGTTGTATTTTCTCATATTTCTTACTCTATACTTGTAAAGTCTTACATTCATCCAGTTTTTAGTTCTGCTATGTTTCTATTTTACTCATCATTTAAAATAACATGCTATCTTCCCAAAGAGTGGCAACTTTTTTTTTTTTTTTTTGGACTGGGGAGTGAACATATGACCTTCACAATGAGCTACATCTCCGGCCCTTTGTGAATTTTTATTTTGAGAAAAGGTCTTGCTAAGTCAACGAATTGTTCAGGCAATTGTGATCCTCTGCCACAGCCTCCCGTAGTACTGGGAAGATAGGCAAATGCCACCACACCTGGCTGGAGGTGTCAGGTCTTAGAGCATCATGTTCAGGTTAGTTTATTCTTCCATTTTTTTATTGATCCAAGAAACATTTATTGAGGCCACACATTCTGCAGATGCTAGATGCATAGACTAACAAGATGTTAGTACTCTTCATTATTTGCTTTAGAACATTGTTATTTTTGATACAAACACTGTATTTCTCCTTTTAATAGTATTTAGGTAAGATGCCTTAACCAGTTGTGGTTTTATTGGCTTAGACTATATCTTCACTAGTAAGAAGAAGAAATGAAAACAAAATGAAAGTGATTTTAAAGTCATTTAAAACTTTCTAAGTCTTGCCTGGCATCGTGGCGCACACCTGGAATCCCAGCACTGGGGAAACTGAGGCAGGAGGATCACCGAGAGTTCAAGGCCCAGCCTGAACTACATAGCAAAGACCCTCTCTCAAAAGGACTTCTGTTCTTTAGCTCACAGAAAGCTTGCCTGCCAAAGATTCTGTTCCATCCAGGCTGATTGATTAGGGAGCAATGGTGCCTTCCTCAGGCTACAGAGGGGGAGCTTTGTTCCAAGCGCCCCCGACCCAGGGAGGGCTGGAATTGTACTCTGCCCAAAATATTGCCTTCCCTCTGAGCAGCACCGCCGCCGTCTCCCACATAGTTTACTTAGGCAGTGGACAGACACCGCAGCTACAGAGGGATGGGCGGGCCTGCCCACGCAGGCCAGGATCAATACCACGGGTGGCCCAGCAACACGTAGCCGTGGTGTTTTCAGAGGAATGGGAGGGGACAGCTCGCCCATGAAACAATGAGATTCAAATGATCAGTTAGAAACCTTTGTCTCTTTTATTTCTATGATCAGATTTCAAATTCCCCTCTAGGTGCCCCGATTAAGAGCAGGTAGCTAAAGGTCACGTTAGTATTAGAAGGGTGGAGCTGGGAGTCCTTCCAGTGCACAGCATAAAGTGCAGAAGGCATGGGAGGGGAGAGAAGTCGGCTCCAGAATATTGGTCTTGCAGGAGAGAGCAAAAAGCCGAGCGGAGGAAGCAGTCAAATACCAGAAGAAAATGTCTCTGAGTTGAAGAAGCACCTTGCTCTTCAGAATAAAGGCCCCTCGGAGCAGAGTTGGGGGCTGTAGAAAAGCAAGTCGGGTGGTCCCCTGATTTGGAAGCACCATGCTCATGGGGGATAGCAGGTGAGGTCCAAGTGCCTGAGCACCTGCCATGTGCCAGGCCTTGCTAGGGACTTGGGTCCACAGGATTCCGCATGGGTCCTAGTCTTGAGGAGCTTCTCACTGTGCAGGAGACATGCACTGGTCAGATAATTACTCAGATACTTGTGTGATTACAGCCCCAGTTAATGATGTGAAGGATGCTTTGAGAGCCCAAGAAAGAGCCACGTGGCCTAATTAAAGAGTTTAGGGAAGTTTGCACAATACACTTCACCCGAGACCAGAGGACTGTGTCACTTACGGATGAAGGCGGGTGCATTAGCGTCCTATTCCTGCTGTAACAAGTTACTAGGAACTCAGTGAGGTAGAACAACGTGAATTTGTTATCTTACAACTTTGGAGAAAACAAGTCCTAAAATGAGGGTGTTGTCGGGGATGTGTTCCTCTTGTAAGCTCCAGGGTGAATCCATTCTCTTGTCCTTTCCAGCTTTCATGGGCCACCTACATTGTTTTGTGGGCCTTTCCTTCATCTTCCAAGCATACTGTCTTCAGTTCGCTCTCTGACTGTGACCCTCTTGCATGCTTCTGCGGTTACATCCCCACTTCTCACCCTGACCCTTTTTCTTCCTCCCTTCAGCCCCTGTGGTTATGGTGAGCGTACCAGATAATCTCTCCCGATCCATCTTCCCATTTCAAGAATAAGGGCCCCCCTGTGAGGTCATGTGTTCAGGTTCCAGGATTTAGGGCATGGCCATCTTTGGGAGGTCATTCTGTCTATCACAGTGGGAGAAAAGAATATTCCAGAAAACCAGAAGTGCACCACAGCCATCTTGTGATGGAAGGAAGCATGGAATATTCTAGAAGGTGAAAGAAATATTTCACTCTGGAGGTGAAGTGTAGAGTGAGGGAAGTGAGGAACAAGATGAGGCTGGAAATGTAAATCAAGGCCAAGCAGTGAAGGGCCTTTCAGACCAGTTATAAGGTTTTGGTTTGTGTCCTAAGAGCAGTAGGAAGCTACTAAAACATTTTCAACAGGACTTACAAGGATGACTTGATGAGATTTGAATTTTGCAGAGGTCACATTTCCTGCAATAAGAAGAATGGTTGAAGGTATGTGAGGAGCAGATGTGGAAGATCAGATAAGAGGTTGGTTGTTTTCGTGATCACTGAGAGGAGATGAACTTGGATTAGGTAGAAGAGATGGAAGAAAGATGGATTCAGGGTTGTTGGGAATATTTGGGAACATAGAGAAGAGGACCTAGTGGGCTGAGTGGATGTGTGGACTGAGGTTGAGGGACTGGTCAAGGATAAGTCCTAGGTTTCTGGACGGCCTAAATGGATGGTTGGTGGGCAGGTAGGTGACAGATATTTTACTGGATTAGTTTGTAAGAGAAGATCATACATGACATTTGGATAGGGTGAGTTTCTGGGTGATTTTGACACAGTGCAGTGAAGGTATCAACTCAGTGCATATTAAGATCTGGGACTCCAAGATGAGATCTGAGTTAGATTTGATTTTATGAGTCATTGTTCCTGGATGAATGGTTGTTGGAAGACGTGTGTGAATGGATCACCTGGGACCCAGGGCTGAGCCTTGAAGATTCCCCAGAAGTTAATTTCCAGCAAAAGAGAAAGATGAAACCAGGGAAGATGGAGACAGAGAAAGGGCCCCAAGGAAGTAGAATCTGAATATTATCTTGGGCTATAAGGAAAGGAATGAGGAATAGATGACTAAAAGTCCAGTCATAAGGGAACATGACAGGTTAAACATATTTGACTGTCAGCCAATATTTAAAAAAGAACATAATTTAGTTATAACTGAAGGTAAACTAATTAAACATTGAGAATGTCAAATCAAGATTGTTCCTACATTTTTCTTGATTTTAAAAGAAATATGTACTAGAATTTGAAAGCCTAGGAAAGTAAAAGAAAACAGAAATAGCAACAGTTGCTGTCTATCAAGTCATAAGCACACGTAGGGGCCTTTTCAGTCTGTCTCATGCATAGTAAATATTACATACACCCAGTTAATGCTTGAGTTGGAAATGTTGAACAGTTCATGAAACAAAATACTTAGCCAACCCCTTGGTTCTGTTCCGTTTGGTTTCTTCCTTCTCTATGAGACGGTCATATTGTTTATTTTGCTGACACATGAGATATGATTAAAATATATGGTGAATGTTTAAATTAGAACTTGATTACAGCAAAAAACACATTGCCATAAATATCCCTCAAGATACTCCTACTCACTTCAAACACACTTATCCCATCGTTTTTGCGACTTTCTGAAGCAGTTCTGCGAGTCCTCTTTCCTTGGGGTCTTTACCAGGTGTGGTAAATACGGTGAATGCTGCTGCCAGGTGCCATCCAGTGGAAAGTCAGGCTCGTAAAGAACATTATAATGTGTCCTTACCCATCTTACTGGATGTGGCACTGTGAAACTGCTTGTTCTTCCCCCAACGTCAAATGACCGTGAAAGAGAAATGTTTTGAATTGACTCGGGACATTGAGGCAGCTGCAACAGCTAGGCAGGAAAGAGGATTTTAAAACTGCTTCAGAAAGTGGTGAGAATGATGGGGTAAGGGTGTTCAAAGTGAGGCAGAGTATGTTAGGTTGAATGACAATGTGGTTTTTACTATAATAAAAGTTTAAAACAATTTTTTAAGCATTCACTGTATTTTTTTTTTAGCACACCTTGTATTTCCCCTGAAAGCCAGTCCCTCAGGATACAAATATTTCTTAGACTGTAACTCACAGAAGATTTTTTTGTCACACAAGAACAGGCTGGGTTATGCTGTGGTACCTAACAACCCCCAGATCTCGGTGGTTTACATAGCAAATATTTATGTGTTTGCCTAATAGAAGCCTTTCATGGGTGAGGGGCTTCTTCCTTTCTCCCACTGGTCAGTTGCTTAGGGTCCAGGCAGGCAGAGCAGTTGCCATTGTGAGTGTAACTGGCTGCCCTGCCCAGGAGAAAGGACAACCTGAAGGCTTCAGGCTGCACACAGGAGCGCCCACCCCAGAGGTCACACGTGTTCGTACACGGGCTGTCCTCACTAGTCATGTTTGTGTCCCCACTCTTCCTAACCAGAAGGGGACCAAGTAGCGCAGTTTTGCCGTGGGCTCAGAAGGCAGGAAAAGCCACCTATTTTGTGGCATTTTGTGAATACCACAGCATAATTACTCTAATTCTGTAAGTTTGGTCAAATTTAGTACTTTCATTTTCAGTGTTTCTGGAGTCTTTTGAGTGTCTTGGTTTAAACTAAAGAATTTAAATTTCAGCATCAAAACAGAGAGTGTGTTTGAGAAAAGAGTAGTTTATTTTTTTAAACATGCCACCTAAACAAAAGCAAGATAAAAGAGAAATGAAAAATCCCGAGAGTGTGGTAGAGAATGGAGAATTTGCATTATTACTTTAGACCACATTTGTTTGTGAACTCTGGAACAGTGTGTCTTGCTTTTTCTTTAAACAAAGTCTTTCATATGAGTTAGCACAGCCTAGGAATGCTTCATAGCATCGTTACTCTACTTTTAACCTGTATTTTGCAGTATGTGTGAGAGTGTGTGTGTGATGCTGGGGGTGGAACCTCGGGCCTCAGAAATGTGGGGTGCGCCTTTACACTGAGTACACTCCCGGCTTGAAACATTCCAGATTTAAATTCTGAGGCAGATTAAAGTATGTGGAAATGTGCTTCCGGGGTAGCTCATCCTCTTTTAGCATCATAAGGTAACGTGGTCAAAATGGAAATCCAGATTTGTCGCCCTCTCCCCCTCGGATGTGGAGCTCTTTCCCGCCTACTTCCTGAGTCGTCCAGGACCCTACCCTGGCTTGCCTCTCCCAGCTTCAGCCCCTGGGGGGCGGTGGTTCCCGTCAGTCCCAAACCCATTCCTCATCTCCGCCTCTTCAGACCTCCATCTCCTGTAATTACTGCTGTAGCTTCCTAACTGACCTTCCCCAAAACGCTGCTCCTCTGAAAACAATACTTTCCACAAAATTTGGTAATTCCTTCAAATTACAAATTAGATGTCACTCCCCTGCCTACATCCTTAGATGGCTTTCTCCTGTACTCAGAATTCAAACTGAAGTCTGTGATATGTGACCTAACCCCTGACCGAATATCTGAATCTAGGCTTACTCTGCTTCAGATATATTCTCTTTTGGCAATTTATTATGTCAAGAGCACTATGCCCTCAGGGCCCTGCTGTTTCCTCTTCTAGAATGTTCTTCCTCAGCTTCCACAGCTCCGTTGGTCTCAGAGAGTCCTTCTGTGACCACAGTCTATAGAGCCACTCCCTACCCTGTTCATTTGTCCTTCTGAAACGCCCTCATTTAAATTTGTATAGCTCACATCATCCTCTACGATTACACTGTTGCTTTATGCCCCCACTTCTAGGCAGACCCATGAGAGCAGAGGTCTTATTTATATTACTGACCACTATATGCCCAACACATAGAGTAGAGTGTTGCATTTAATAGATGTGCATGACTATGTATATCAGGTTCCTTTTTAAGTCACTGATAACTCTTCCTTCCTCAAAGGAGAGAGCGGACATGGCCTAGAACCTTGCAGGCAGCTCCTTTGACCCAGCTTCCTTGACCCAGGGTACCTTAGTATTCTTGTCTTCCAAATCATGATGGTAGATGAATTGATCTGTGATCTTCAGACTTCCTTCCAGCTTTAGAATTCAATGAATTCTTTTATAGCATCTCCAAGAAATTGTCCCATAATTAAATTATTTTAAACATTTGAAAAATACTTTGCTGCTGACCTATAGCACATAGAACACTAGGACTTTAGGTTAAATTTTTAAAAGCTCATTTTGAATACTATCAGTTCTATAAGAGGAGACTCTTTATATGAGCAGATGTAAAATTCACATTGTGTCTAAATTGTTCCCTAATATGTTAATCATGTAGGAACAGATTTGCATTCAGAACAAGCAATAGAGTAGAATTGATGGTAATGTTAGACGTGTGATATATATAAAGTTTCCTTATGCTCTCAGAGGGTGTCCCCAAGTAGCCGTACAACCATGGTAGAGGATCAAAACTTAGAGATGAATATTGATGTGAGGATGTTAACTAAGCTGAGCTCTTATTCAGGTGTTGCCATTTTCATCATTTTTTTCTGCCTCAGGATCCAGCTCAGGATTCTGTATTTCACTTTTCGTGTTTCCTCAGCCTTTTGTAACCCAGAACAGTTCTCCATTCTTTGTCTTCCGTGACCCTGGCCCTCGAAAGAGCACTGGCTGGTTATTTTGTGGACTGTACCCCAGTCTGGATCTGTCTGATCCGGACTGTGTCTGGCTAGGTTGAGTCTATGCACTTTGGGCAAGGAAACCTCAGAAGTGATGTTGTACTCTTCTCAGTGCATGGTTCCCTCGGAGTTGATATGGAAGATACTATTTTTTGAATGTTTATTTTTCTAAGTTTTGCTGTATTATAAAACTGCTGTTTACAGCACTCATTTTTAGCGTGGTTTAATCTTTTATTTTTATCTGTCTTCTGACATTACATATTTTTAATAGGCAAGCTAGGTGGGAAAAACAGTATTTTAGGTATGCCCTTTGTATCCTTTGATTATTTTTGTTTCCACAATTGAAATAGAATCCCTCAAATATTCCTGTCAGTTTAAGAAGGTGTGATACTTTTGAAGTAGCAGTGTTTTTCTGTATTGTCCTGTAACACACTTTTATGTAATTACTATATTATTTTGTTTCAGTTTCAATAGTAATGGGAATTCCCACAGTGAAGAGAGAAGTTAAATCTTACCTCGTAGAAACTCTTCATTCCCTTATTGATAATCTGTATCCCGAAGAGAAGTTGGACTGTGTTATAGTAGTCTTCATAGGAGAGGTAATTATTTAACCTTTTTTTTTACTAATACATAAGCAAAGAGTTGAAGCTGCAATTGAATATTTGGGTATGCTTTTACGAGCGCTTAAAATGTGGTGAGTAAAGGTTAGGTAATAAATACTGTCTGATAGTTTACTGTAAATCCGATGTGCCGTGTTTGCCTTAACTTCTCTTCTGTGTTGACAAACCCACAATAGTAATCTTTGATGTCAGTAGGATAATATTATGCACCTAGAGCTTAAAGAGTGAATCCCCGTTTCTAGCTCTGAGGCCTAAGTTTGGAGATTTGCACTGATGTTCTTTCCTTGGGAGTCCTGAAACCTAAAAATGGTTTAGCCTGGACTAGGGTTTTATCATCTCTTCATTTTCTCCAGCCCTCCCTGTCCTCCCAGGATGTAACTATCATTGTCACTAGAGCAGTAAAAAAATCACGTGAATGAGGAAGACACTTCTTGTATTTTAGTCTCCCAGAAAGATCTAGGAAAACAATAACTCTTGAGCAAGATTTTAACTCACAGGAAGCAACTCCTTTATAGTATTTTCTAAATTGTCATACTCAGTTTCAGAATAGGAAAACATCTAGGACGTAATCTAGTTCTGGCCCTCTGATTCCCACTTTTTCAGGGTTCTCATCTCTTTTCAGATGGTAATGGTCTTAATGTGTCCTTAATACACACGTACTGTTCAAAACACTCACGTGAGCCTACCTGTCTTTCCTGCATGTGGAGAGAATTATAATTTTTGTACCTTAATAGTTTATATCTTAAGACAGTTTTCCTATAGCTTGTATACACACGTATGAGCAGATTGTTCTGTGTGGATTTTAGTGTTGTGAACGCTTTTCTATGCCAAAATTATCAAATATCATTCTATGCCCATGAACTATTCCATTGTATGGTTTAAACGTAACTTTAAAAATATTTTATTGATAAGCTGTTTCTAAGTTCCTACAGTTATCAGCAGTGCACTTGAGCATTTCTATAAATAAGTTATCATGCACTCATATTCTGGCTCAGTTTGTAATTATTAAAATATTCATACATAGCCAAGAGGGCCTGCAAAAATTGAATTGTTTCTCTTCCAAAGAACTTGTATCTCTATTCTTTCAATTCTTTTAAATCAGTTTGATGGGTGAAAAATAATGCTTTGCTTTTGTTCCATTTGGACTCCTTTACTGTGTGGAATTAAATGTTGCTTTTTTGACTGTATGCATTTGCAATATTTTTATTACCTTTGCTCATTGTTTTAAGTTTTGTTTTGATTTGCAAGAAATTTTCATATATGAGGGGAATTAACCAAAATATCTTGTTCGGTTTATTACTTATATCAACTTGTGGTGCTTTTTGCCTTTCATAGAATTTTTACATTTTAAGTAATCACGTTTGTCAGTCACAGAGCATATACCAACAGAAATGGGTGCAGTTTCTTTGGAAAGTTACTTGGCAGTAGATACTCGTAAAGTATACACTGTGACTCAATGTTCTGCTTCCAAAAATTGATCCAGTGGAAACATTTGCAAGTAGTAGAGAAATACATTCAAATATAGACACACATTTATATAGCTCTTAGCATATATTTATAAACTACACATGGACAATGGAGTATTAGAATATGCTTCAAAGTATTCATGGCAGGTACCTTGAGAGCAGAGATTATGGGGCGATGGTATTTTCTATTGTGTACAGTTTTGTAAAATTCGAGTTTACTTACCATGAGGATATATTAATGTTTCCTCAGAAAAGGGCATGAAAGCTATAGAAAAAGAACCATCTGTACGTGCTTGAAGAATGGAGAACAGCACACACACAGATGTGAGACCCTCTTTCCTTGATGGTGCTTTGGACCACCAAGATGCAGTCCCATCAGGGTGGGGTCAGGGAACCTGTGTTTGGGGCTGGGTTCTGCCACTTGGTGCCACTTTTCCTGTTCATCTCTGTGACGAGAATGATGTCATCGCCCCTTTGGAGCTCAGCATTATTTCAGAGAGGCACGGTGACATCACACACAGAGAGGTGTGAACTGTAAACTCCACGCATGTGGCAGCGGCGTTCCTGTCTCCGCAGAATCCCTTGCCAGCATTTTCCTGTGTGTTCTCATAAAATTTCCATGAAGAACATGTGTCTTGAGCAGAAGGATAGAAGAGTTCACCGACTTGCTTTTGGCAATGAAAAATTACTCATCACTGTATCGGATTTTCTACCTTGATTATAGTTTTCTCCTCAGAGTTCTGGTAGTCTGGGGTTGCTCTGACACTAGTAACAAGCACGTGTTCTGTGGCTTTGACTTGATCTACATGTGGGATGGTGTCTGGATCAGATCCCCACGTTCTTCCTGAGCCCTCCATTCAACCCGCTCACTTGATAATGACATTTGAATGACTTACGGGCAATGCTTAATCTTTCCAGAACTTGGCAAATCTGGCCTGCGTCTCTTCTGGGACTCCTGCGTGCTGTGCATAGCGTTGCTGGGACGTGCCGCAGCCATTCTGCTCCCAGGCGGTGTGTAGATCTGGTGTGTCCCCGGTTCTGTTTGTTATTCCAGAGCCTGCAGCTTTACCTCATCCTTTCCCCTTCCTTTCCAGCTTTCAAACCCCAGCTCGTCACTTTCTGTGAAGGCATTCCCTGCCTCCTGTTTGAAATTTAACTCAGGCAAACAGAAATAGATCTTTTGCAAACATTTCCAAGTAAATTAGGAGTTTTTATAAAGGCCTGCGTTATCTCTGGCCAGTGTCAGCGTGAGCACACGAAGGATGAAAAACAAGTGGAGAATCTGCACGGGGTAGTCAAGGGTTATCATCCTTGTTTCTTATGTCGCTTTCTGTTCTTTGTGGGTTGTTTTTTTGTTTGTTTGTTTTTCCTTAAAAGCAAAGAACCATAAGATATCCCTCTGGGAGGAGAGGAGAGACAGAAAAGTCATTATTAGCTATACTTCTGTTCTTTGTTCCTCTCTGGCCATTTCACCATTACGGGCCCCCTGGGCATATGATGAGACACTTTTGGAACATGTAAAGTTTTAAGCAGTCGACTCTTTGCTTATTCGAAAGTTCTCTGATTCTGCCGTGACTCTCACAAGGGGTTGAGTGGAATGAGCTCGAGCTGCCCCGAGCGGTCCTGGGTCAACTCTTAAGTGTGGTGTTCAGATGATACGGTTCCTAGATTTGTTTTTACTTGGGGTTTAATTATACTTTTTGTATTCTGATGATTCTTTGTTGCCTGTATGCCACGTTTTATGGTCTTATATATTTCTTAAATTATTATTTGTATTTATCACTCATGATCATTTTTTGCAAAATATTTCCCTAGAGTGTACTCTTGATTTTAGCAAAACATGTTTTCCCTGCTGCATTTGTATATTTGGGGACTCCTCGTCTCACTGACTCTCAGTTGGATAAAGTGCCCCTTTCTTGCTCTGGAAATTAAAAATGCTAAATATTTATTTTACCAGCTCAGGCGTGTGACCTGGTCTCAGCCACCTGCATATTTTTATCTGGACTTTGGAATGAGGCTACATTATTTTCAGATAGCACAGGAAACCCAAAAGAATGAATGGGCAACTTCCTAGAAATAACAGGTAGTTTACCGGAGTGGCTGGATATAGGATCCATGAATATTTCTGTGTGCCAGGAACAAGATAAAAGAAAACACAAGGAAGCCAGGATTGTGGACAGTCACTCGGGTCATACCCAGGAGGTGCCGGTGTCCTTCCAGAAGCCAGGGGGAGGTACAGAGGCTTGGGGGGGGTTGTCAAGCGGTGGCCCTCGATGCTCTGTGATCATTGGCTGTGGCGCAGGCTTATTTCCATATCTTCCTTGCCTGGATCCTTGGCAAAACTGGAAGTTCATGTTCCCTAGATGATCCCTACCCGGTCATCTTACAGCAAATCATTTCTCTGACTCTCCTACCAGTGTCCATCTCTGATCCTGACTGGTACAGACTGTATATTTTTCAAAAACACCTGAATCTTATGTAACTACCACCAAACTGAAAGGTCCATCAAGTGGATGCAGGAGTGTATGGCTGGATGCCTTTCCAGTGGCTTAGAAAGAGGAAATGAGTTTTTGAGGTAGGTTTCAGGCACACTATGCCCCGAACCGTAATCAGCGGATGGTGCTCGCAGTAGCCATGGAAACTGCTCAGAGCTGGGGAAGAGAACCTTGGATCGTGCATCTCTGTGTTGCGCTGCGCTGTTCAGTGTAGCTGCAGTCTGCCTGGACCGTTCCAGAGCCCAATTCAAGTTGAACTAGTACAGTGATGTAACCAGCTTACCATGCTAGAAGTATATCCCTGGTGAGTTTAGAGAATTTCTAGACTCATGGAGTTTTTAGTGTGTATGAAAACAATTGTAATTTTATCAAGTCTTCTCTTTTTAAAATTTGCTTTCATTTATTTGTTTTACAATACTAGGGATTGAATTGAGGCCTTCACACTGAACTACCAAATACCTAGCCCTTTTTATTTTTTTTTTTTATTTTGAGACAGGGTGTCACTCAGTCTCTTACGTTGCCCAGGCTGGACTCAAACTTGCCAGCCTCCTGCCTCAGCCTCCCAGGGTGCTGGAATTGTCCTACCCAGGCCAGCTTCAGTGTTTTTACCATTGTGCCCATTCTGCTTTGTGTGTTACAGTAAGAATGCCCGAGGCTTTTGCCGTGCCTTCTTCATTTTGACCAAAATTGGTTTAACAGAGCACAGTTATCCCAGCCTAGGCAGAAATTCGCAAGGCAGGTAAATTTATAAATGAATACAGAAGTTGAATCGCCAGAGGGAACCAAAGTACTGTGACGTGTTTAGTTTTCATTCTTATTTTCTGTTGTATATTTTATCAGCATTTGGAAAAACTATCTACTATGTATTTAATTTTCAGATAGCTAATGCGATCACATGGTTTGCATGTTACATGTGTGTGGGGTGGACACGTGGAGCCGTCTCCTGTCTGCTTCTGTCTCCCGCTCAGAGGATTAACATCTCCATAGGCTGCAGTTGTGGCGAGCCAGCTGTTGTACC